CAAACAATCGGATTCCAGGTATCGGCAACTCGCTGGGCGAGTCGGTTAGAGAGGTCGGCGGGTCGGGCTCGGCTCTAGGCCCAGTGTGTAACCCGTATAACTCAACCGACACTACACTGAGGGCAGCTTTGACACTGTAAGCTATATCTCCTCATCTAACCCTGTCATCTTAACAGTTATAAGACCCTGCGTCAGACATTTGGATGTAAATTAGATTTTACCAACTCGAAGCTTTCAATTTGTTTGGTCGAGACTTAACTAAATCTGAAAACATAAACGTGGCTAGGACCACTGCGCTCGGGGCCAACAACATTGGAATAATTGATTCCGATCCATTTTGGTCCGCACAGGGATGCTGTACTATATTAACCTGCGAAGAAGAAAGCGATCTCCCTCTCATACCCCCAACAGGGCGCCTACGATACTAATATTGGGGAACAGATAGCAAGGCGTTTCGGGGCTCGACTACCCCTCCTGGGATTCAGAGCCTCTCAACAGCGGTTATCTTTATTGCATCATGTGGCAGTGGAGTCAAACCAGATACCGTGTTGCTGATGTCTTCAGCCTTGCGCTTAGTCCCCAAAGTGTTAGGCGCCCTTGTGAGGGGCCTCGCCGCCGCAGCTAAACGGCCCTTTTCGGCAAGATAATCGGGCACGAATACAGGAAGCAGTATTAGCCACCATTGACCTAGTGATTTTCGTTTGATCCAAACAGGATCATAGTTCTACTCCAGGTGCCAATATGCATGCGTCTCACACGGCGGTACTCCTCTAGCGGTTGACCTCAGCGTGGGAATAACGCGACTTGATTTATGGGACAAACCAAAACCGGTCTATCATTCGTGATGCTTCATCTCAGACTCCCCAGGAGAAGGACTTGATCCTCACCACTTTAGTATATTCATAAATTGATTTTTGACCTGTTTTAAGACAGCCCAACCAATAGGAAAGGGTGGGATGTCCCCACATGGGATGGGCGCTTAACTGACCAATGACCTACCATACGGACAAACTCCTCCACTTCGATGATCCGACACGAGGATGATTTGACGTTTACTCCTCTTCTGGCCCTCTATTCTATTCGCTCCTAAAACCCTGGCTGAGCCGCAACTGCTGGCAAAAAGTCGGCGAATTCGCGTGGGTCCCTCCCGCAGCGCCATCTGGGTCGCTGGCCCCAGAGTTCATTCCCCTCCAACAGCCTCGCTATCAAAACTCAATACGAGCCTGGCACACCACCTATACATATGAGGGCGCGTACATCGAACATGTCATGATCACTGCCTGGCGATCACCAACCCCCACTGTAGACCAAAAGTATTAAACCTCCGCTTCACCCTCTGCGCTTTGTCCCAGGAACAATCCTCGATCAAGATTTTCGGTTATCTTATCTTTTACTCTGGGAAGAATCAAACCAGCCCC